AAGGCTTGGTTGTGCTTGGGAGAAATAAAGATAGGAATCTTGACAGAAATATGTTCGAAGTCTAGACATTCTGAGAAGACTTATCATTACTGCAAGAAGAAGGGGCATATAAGAGCTGATTGCTTTGCCTTGAAAAATAGAAATAAAGCTGCTGGTGCTACGGAGAAAGGGAAGCAATATGTTAATACAGCCGAGGCTAATGTTGTGTAGAATAAGCAAAGTGGTGGAGAGCTTCTTGTGATTTCTGACGAAGATACTAAATCTAGTGATGAATAGGTTCTTGACTCGGCATGTACTTTTCATGTGTCCTAATAGGGACTGGATTTCTACATATGAAGAAGGTTCGAGAGGTGCTGTGATTATAGGAAACAACGCTCCTTAAAAGATTGTTGTAGTTGGTGCAGTCAGAATCAGGATGTTCGATGGAGTTGTCAGAACACTTACAGATATAAGACATGTCCCAGAACTGAAGCGGAATCTCATATCTTTGAGTACACTTGACTCAAGGACTAAAGATACATCGGTGAAGGTGGAGTTTTGATGGTGAGCAATGGTGCTCTTGTTGTCATGAAGGGGTATAAAAAATCTATACAGTTGTATATTTTGTATGGTTCCACAGTGATTGGGGATGCAGCAGTTTCTACTTCTTCTTTGACGGACGATGAAGTTACAAAACTTTGGTATATGAGGCTCGGGCATATGAGTGAGAATGGAATGGTGGAGCTGAGTAAAATAGGACTTCTTGATGGGCAGAAGACCAGCAAAATTGAATTTTGTGAGTATTGTGTATTTGGGAAACAGAAGAGAGTCAGATTCACTAAAGGAAGACACAACACGAAGGGAACACTTGAATATATCCATTCAAATCTTTGGGGACCAGCCATGATACCATATAAAGGTCGATATTATTACTTGTTAACAGTAATTGATGACTTCTCCAGGAAAGTTTAGGCATTCTTCTTGAAGTAGAAGAGTGATGTGTCTGGAACCTTCAAAGAGTGGAAAACATTGGTAGAGAAGCAGATCGAAAAGCAAGTAAAATGTCTACGTACTGATAATGGGTTCGAGTTTTGCTCAGATAAATTCAATAGCTTCTGTAGGCTGAAGGCATCTTGAGACACTTGACAATGCCTGGAACGCCTCAACAAAATGGTGTGGCAGAACGGATGAACAGGACCTTGATGGAAAAGGGTCTTTGTATGCTTTCAAATTCTGGGTTGCCCAAGTCTTTTTGGGCTGAAGCTGCTACTACACCTTGTTTTTTGGTTAATCATTCTCCGTTAGTTGTCATTGATAAAAAGACACCAGAAGATGTATAGTTTGGTAAACCTTCTTGCTATTCTGATTTGAAAAGTTTTGGGTGTCCAACTTATGCTCATGTATATAATGGGAAGTTGGAGCCTAGGTCTAGAAAGTGTATTTTTCTTAGGCATAAATCTGGTGTGAAGGGATATAAGTTGTGGTGTCCAAAGACTAGAAAAGTAGTTGTTAGTAGGAATGTAGTATTTTATGAACTCGCTATGGTTCGTGGGTCACCTCTTGGGGATTCTGATAAAGTTGAGGAGCAGAATCATTCAACTCAGGTGGATTTAAAATTAGTTTAGAGAAACTATCAGAGGTTGTAGAACAGTTTACTACAGATGAGTCCAGTTCAGGATTGATAGACAGTAATATCATGCCTACTTTG